TCTTGAGAGCTTTTTAATCGTTGAGGACAGTCTGTGGGGGGAAATTGCCCGTGAAGCCTGGGTGAGACCTGGAAGAGCCACGCTTCCCTCCCTGACACGGGTGGGGATTTCACCCCCGTTCAGGCAGTGAAGGGCCCAGACCCATGAACGGAGTTGACAATCATGAATATTTACGTGTATCCACTGCTTCATCTTGGATATTAATTTCAAGCTGAGTCAGTATGTGGCGGCAGCCTCATCCTACATCAGGAATTTATAGTATCTGCTCTTTGAGGTGAAGATGAGACAGACTTGGTTATTTAACAGTCTCTCTTGAATTGATATCTCAGATTCCTTTGTCAGAAGCAAGACAGCAGAAATACAGACGTATTTAATGCCGATGTGACCTGGAACGGGTTTAGTCTCTATGCCTCAGTGGCCTTATCTGCTGGTGGGGAAGATGATAACAGTGCTTCCCTCAGAGGGTCTGGTGAGGGGGGAGTGAGAAGCACAAAGGGAGGACTTACACGAGATGCTCATGAATGACCGAATGTAGTGCTCTCAGCCTGGTGAGTCCTCAGGGGCAGAGATGTCAGAACAGAGCAGTCCTAGCCGGAGCTCGATCCGTGTTGGCAGCTGTTATGATCAGTATCACCACTGTGGGTTATCAGGTAGTTCTAAGAATTGGTAATATGAATTCATGGATAATGTTAGAAGACTAGACATCTCAGATCCAGTTTACATAGTTCTCAAGAATTCCTTTGAGAAATGGATGTTTTTTTCCCCATCTCAAATCTGAGTTGAGTCTCTAAAAAAATTCTGTATTCCTCCATCTTTTTGCTTTAATTCTCCATTTCTTAAAAAAATGTTTAAATGGAGTATCTGGAGACTGAACTGAGGCCCTCATGCATGCTAAGCACATACTCTCCCAAATGAGGTATAATCTCCCCCGTTTTTTAAAAATTTTACTTTCTTCATATTCAGAGGTTAGAGGACTCTAATTCTTTTTCTGGAGCTTGTCCATGAACCTGTAAATCTATAATTAATGGACAAAACTTGGTTTATTAAAAAAATCAATAGAACATTCTGCAATCCTTCCAAAAGGAAATGCTCATTGACTTAAAATGTTTCTCCTTTATGGTGATTTCTACTTTTTGGTCTAGCTTAATTTATTAACAGCCATCCTCATCATAATGACCTAACTCGCTCTGACTGGACACCTACCTAAGGCTAAAATGCCTTCCTCATGTTTTAATTCATGGAAGGTGTCTGAGGGTAGGTATCAGTGTCTCCTTTTTTGCAGCTGAGGGATTGAGAGATGGAGCAGCTTGTCCCAAATCACACACAGCTGGAGGTGGCTAGCTCGGTGCTGGAACCCAGGCTGCACAGGACGCATTCTTTGTGTGTGTGTGTGTGTGTGTGTGTTTTTCAGATATTTTTTATTTCTTCAAATTTGTTATTTACCAGGAGTGACTGAAATAAAAAATATAATTGGGTCCCATCATCATGGAAATGGCTTTAAGAGAAAACTGGTCCAGTGAATATTATTGCTTCCCATTTCAACCAGTAAGTAGTTGCCATTGATAAATAGACAGCCAACAGTCTGTCAAGAATGCTCAAGATATGTGATATAATACAACATGCCTGTTCACAGAGGGAGAAAAACTAGGAAATAACTTATGTGAACTTCTTGATCTCATCATACAAGACAAGCACAAAAGCACCACCCACGCCTCTGAGGACATTGGACCACGCGCCTTTGAAAAAGGCTTTGGCTCCTTCGTCATAGGCGATCTTCAGCCAGCAGTCCAGCGTGCCTGTGTACATGATATCAGTTCTTTGCGCCCTGACTGCATCATCATGCGGCGACGCACGGTGTCAAACGGATAGGAAGTCAACCCAGCAACCGCTGTGACAGACTGTGCAATCATCCAGCTGATGAAGATATGAGTATTCTTGGGATCTGGAAGCATTCCCTTCGCAGTGTCATAGATACCAAAGTAGGCAGCTCGGTAGATGATAATACCCTGCACAGACACGTTAAAGCCTTGTTATAGGCCCTTAATCCCATCAGATTTGTAGATCTTAACCAGGCAGTCACCAAAGCCTCTGAATTCCCTTTCAGCTCCAGCTTTGCCCACATCAGCTGCTAGACGGGTACGGGCAAAGTCAAGAGGGTACACAAAACACAAGGATGTGGCACCAGCGGCACCACCTGATGCCAGATTCCCTGCAAAGTAGCGCCAAAACTGGGTCCTCTTGTCCACACCACCCAGGAAGATCTGCTTGTATTTATCTTTGAAGGCAAAGTTGAGAGCCTGGGTGGGGAAGTATCTGATGACATTGGCCAGGTTACCATGCCAGATGGACAGGACTCCCTGCTCCTTGGGGATACGAACCACACAGTCTATGATGCCCTTGTACTGCTTATCTGCAGTGATTTGCTTGCTGGCATGCTGCACCTGCAGCAGCAGCTTGACCCGCTCGATGGGCGCTACTGCGGTCTTGGAGATGGCCGCGGCCACTCCACCTGCCAGGAAGTCCTTGGTGAAGGACACAGCGGCATCTGTCATGTTGGAAGGCGAGAGGAAGCGGGCGACTGCGGGAATGGTAAGGGACCAGCTCGGACTCCGAGGCTGTCAGGACGCATTCTTAATTGCTCCTCTAATCAGCCTCCCATTGAGTGGTTACCCGAACTCCTGTGACTCCATAAATGGCCGATTTTAGTGATCTCAGCCTGATGAGGCCTTCAAAGGAGGGACATCAGTGAGAATGTGAGACAGAGGGGTATAAATTAAAATTGTACATTTTCACAAATATTTTATTCTCAGGTAATGACTTAAAAACATTTTTTTATTTTAGTGCTCTGTAAGCACTAAAAACAAAACATTAAAAATAATTATAGTGCAAAAGAGAAGTGGGCTTTGAAAGTCCAACCACTGCTAATGATGTTACTTGTTTTTCTCTAGTGGCCCTTATTGACAGAAATACTTACAAAGACTGAATTGGTTTTATGTGGTCTTAGTATGGAAGAAAAGATTGTCAGTGAATATTGTAAGTAAAATCTTTACTCTTTTCTTTCCTGATGATGAATATGTAAGTTGTTTTCATGGCTTAAGTGCATTTCCTCATTTGTGAAATTTGAGTAATATCGTTTACCTTGTCTGACTGTGAGAGTTAGACGCCTTGTATACAAAGCATCCAAGAGGTGCTTAATAAAAATGTGCTGTCACATTGACAGATACTTTAGAAGGATAAACTCTGAATATTAAAGAGGGTGGCTTATTTCTGATGCATATTCAATATGTATGTATATGATATATATGAATATGGTTTAAAGTAACAAGGATTCATTTTTTTAGTGCAGAATTAAGTTTTAATGAAATCTGTATCATTCTAGTGAGACAGGGATTAGTTAAATTGCCTTAAGCAGACGACCTTGAAGATTATTTACACAGAATGTGTATTGTTACAACTTAGAATTCATGTTGCACTCAGAATTTTAAATCCGTGGGATTCTGACCAGATCCATTAAGTTTAGAAAAATCCACATTGATCATTTTCAGGGAATAAGCTTCTCTCTTTTGTGATTAAAGAAAATTTTGATTTTTTTCCCTGCGCTCTAAACAGGTTTAAAATACGAAAACAATTATTTGACATGCCACTTTTTTAATAGAGAGAATAAAGCTCATGCTGTTTTATTATGTAAATAAATGTTTGTATTTCAACAAACTTGTGTGATTTTCTGGCTCTTTGAGAAGTATTTTGCAAGATACTTAGATTACCTACTGTTGGAAAAATACAGACGTGACTTTTATGAATATAGGCCTAGTACAGATTTGTTGGTTTTTGTTACAGTGCAAGACATGAGGCCTAGGAGAGTTTTGCTGCCGATTGCCAGGAGGACAGATCCCAGGTCTCAGTCTCCCCTCCTGTAAAATGAAGTGGCTGGACTGGATTCTTTCCTCTTCTAAGATGAGTTTCCATGAGCCTATGTCTTTTGTTTATATTCAGGAGCATTAGCAATATCAGATTAAACACTGAATACCCCTCCCTTCCCCGAAGCAAAGTGCAATATGTGCTACAGAAGCTTTTAGTTATCTGATTCTCGTTTCTGATCCTACAGGCAATTTTTGTGTTGCATCTTTCCCGGCAAACTGGAAGGTCTTTTTAGCCATAGATGGTGCTGTTGTACCTTCTTACAGTCTTAATTTTCCTGTTTGTAAAAGAAGGCTTAACCAACGTTATTTTATTTGGATTTCTTTGCTTAATGCTTCAGAATAGCACAGTGTCCATTATGTCTGTCTACCTGGAAAAATTATTCTGCTTATATCTTAGTTTTATTCTGTCATCTCGCTGTGAACATTTCAGACTTGCTGTGTAAACAATGGCAACATCGGACTTGTCTTCCAGTGTTAGAAACCAGTGAGCCGGGATTTTATAAAACAGCTAGAAGCGGCCTCTGGAACACCTTAAAGCTGAAAAGTGTATTGAGTTCCCTGAGTATTGACCCCGCCGCTGTGTGATAGTTGGTGGGAGGTGATTTGGTACATATACGAAGGGGTGTAGTTTTTTGACTTGGGTTTGCGTGCGCGCGTTGCCACTGAGCCACGTGAGCCTAAGTCAGTTCATTTTGAGTTTTTCCCTCGTCTGGGACATGGGGACGCTCATATCTGCTTTGTAGAATTGTGAGAATTTAAACTATGTAAAGTGTTTACCACAGTGGGTATGTCAAGAGGGCTCATAAACTTTAGCTCCTGTTTTGTGTGAAGCCATCATTTTACAGTCTTTGGCAATTACTAAGAAACAGGAAAATAAGAAAAGCTGGTTTTATGATGAAAAACATTTGCGGAGGTTCCATAGTTCCTATACCCATAATTTAGCATCAGCAGAGTCAGAACTGTTACACAGTCGCCCTGAACCAACGTTAAGCCACAGAATTTTTTGTTACTTCATATATGTTGGGGCTTAAGGCGATCCAGTACTTATATACATGTTGTCTCCAGCAGCCAACTGAGAGATGACACAAAAGAGTAGGCAGGAGATAAATGTCTTCTTTGTTACTGATTAAGCCACGTTCTCCATGAACTTCAGGGCTGTGGGAAAATGAGTGTCATGATACTGTGTCCCAGAAGTAGAGACTCACCCTGTCCCAGGTAATTCTGGACCACAGCGAGCCTTCCCTTGAGAGGATCTGCCCCATCATGCACAGGGCTGTACTGCCATGGAGCTGAGCATTCCAGGTGCTTCCCAAGGGTGGCCAACACTAGAGGGAAAGGAAGGGTTTCACATGCCCTGCTTGTCTCACCAGACTCACACGTCACTCTGTTAGTGTGAGGAGGGCTAGCTGTGGGCCAGGGGTCAAGGATGTGAAGGGCAAGCACTCTCCGTGGCCCAGAGGAGTGAGGAGGAGGCATCCACTTCCTCAGTTTAAACAGGTGGTGGGATGGAACAGAAGGGTGCTCCCCAAGAGTTTATAAAAGGAGAAATAAGGATTATCTTTGGGACTTAGACTAACCAGGAAACATAGAAGATGATTAGAAGGGAGACTTGTAAATCACTTTCATATTACGTTGACATTTGTTTAGCACCAAAAATGTGTTACATTCTTTTCTCAGTGTTTTACAGAAATGAATCCTTCAATCTTCTCAACAAGCAAGTAAGAAAGGTTTGATTGTTATCCCAGTTTTGCAGTGTGGAAATTGAGGCACACAGAGGGAAAGTTGGCCAAGGTCACTGAGCTAGTAAGTGACAGAGCTGGTATTTAAACCCTGGCTGTCTGATTTTGAGACTCCCAGAGATGGGCTTTGGGTGTTTAGAGGTATCTGCATCCCTGGATCTCTGTCCTCTGTGCATCAGTTAGCCAGAAAGGACAGGGAAAGGAGAGTTACACAGGTGCTGACAGTCGTTTCTCGCCCACTGTCCACGGAGAGTGCACTGTGATTAGCGTTGTTTTCCAAGCAGTAGATCTGTTCGTATAACAGAAATTAGTCCATTGAGTTAATCTAGAAACCCTTCCTGCTCTGTTTCTGTCCATGCTTGCCCTGTGACTGCCTGCCCGTGATTGGGCCATTGAGGAGAAAATGTACTCATGGTTGAACTCTGATATTTCAGTCTGGTTCATAGTTTCACGTCTTCTGTTACATTAATAAGATAAGTTTCTGGTTTTCTTGCATCAGTATCTCATGAGTTTGGTTAATGTGAAACCAGTCCATTGGAGCCCAGGGGTGCTGACGGTATAATTTCTGAGCACATTGTGGCACTTCTACCCGTGCAGAACTGACTGGAGGATGTCTGCCTTCCTCACTGATTTCCCACAACAGCGGGGTCCTCTCTCACCCCTGGATGTGAGGCTGGGAGCTCTCTGAGTAGGCCAGTCAGAGGCCAAGTCCACCAATCAGAAAATAATGAAGTACCTGGAAGTGGGTTTAATAGAAGAAAAGGGCTTCCAGGAAGTCCGATGGGCTGTTCCAGTCCGTTTGGTGAAAACATGTCCACTGTCTGTGGTTGAGCTGCTTCTTTACTGTTGAAAAGTCTGGATTAGATGAAGGGATTTTAAAAAGCAGAAAGAAGTGATTTCAGGTGGTACGTCCACACCGGTGAGAAGTTATGGATGACCGCCTGTGTGAGGCATAGACAGAGCCTTACAAACTTCATAAAACAGGTTTAAAAGCTCTGCCATCTGAGTGCACTTTATAAGGGGTCCAGTTCATGACTGGGCGTGCTGAGAGGGCAAATAACTGATGATGGCAGAAAGGACACGGAGGCATCCAAAAGGTCTCAGTCATGTTCCCTGTTTAAAGGATGTAGCACAGTGTAATATATTTGAGCTGGTTTTTCACTGAACAGTTTTGAGTGTTTTTTGGGACTCCCCAGTGCCCCAAGTTTCCATGCAGCTGGGTGTCCCCTCAAAGCAGCTCTGTCAGCGCTTTCCCTGGGCTGACGCGGTGTCACGGGGAGCAGGATGATCAGTGTCCCCGGCTCCTCCGAGCTCCGTCTCCTCATCCGCAGAGCCGGGTTCCTCATCCGTGTCTACTTAGTAGTGTTGCTGTGAATCACACGTGATGGTTGTCAGGTGTGATTTGTGGTTGTCTGTGTGATTGGCATATAGTCAATATTTGATAGAAACACTTGTTTTTTAATATAATTGTAGCACCTAGATTGCAGTGGTTTTTAGTCTGCTTTTTTTATAACTTTATTCTTATATTTTAATATGTACTTATTTTTATTTATTTTTTTGGAGGTACTGGGGACTGAAGCCAGGACATTGTGCATGCTAAGCAGGTGCTCTACAACTGAGTAAAACACACCCTCCTTGTCTGCACTTGAAAAAAAAAATTGCAATACACAAAATAGCTCTTAAACACCATCATGGGACCTAATCTCTGTATAGGCAATTGAACACGTATGCTATTTCAATAAAAATAAATGTTCTTGGGACATACCTTTCTGAATCTGCTAATGTGATTAAAAATGATCACAGCTAGTGATAAACACGAATCTTGGATGTAGTACTTCTTAGGGCCTGCTTTGCCATCATGGGAAATTACATTCTACAGAGAAGGCTAATTGGGTCTTTTTGATATTTGGATGGTTTAGCAGATGATCAAGGCTTTCAAAAGTTGACAGTTTTGTTTTTTAAACTAACTACAAAGTTACCTTGTAGATGTTGGAAGTCCTAAGCTTGTGAAGTGCCCAGTAATCCAGGGGGTATGTGTCTGTGTCTATGTGAACGTATGTGTTTGTGATTTCAGGAAGGTAGAAATAAGTTTCATATAGCCTTCTGATAACTTTCTCCTCCATTTCAAGGTGTAGGCATATATTTACACAAATAAATTGATGTTCTTTGGTCATTTGGCATATTGGGAATAAGAGGTTCTCATACTTGTTTCAGAAGGGTTGGGGAGCATGAGCTTAGAAAATGGGAAGACAAAGAGGCAGGGAGGCACTTCACACTTTGTGCAGGATATGAGAAACAGTAGCTTTTCTTTTCTCTTTTCTTCTAAAGTAAACTGGCACTGAATTGTAACATACTATTACTCAGAATTGCTTTTCTGATCAGATACAAGTGCCTCAGATTTTTCAAGGCAACATGAATGATGAAATGTGTTTCAGCAGTTATCATTAAAAGTAGTTTTATTTTTCAAGAAAAAGGCTATAGCCTGTTCTTTCAGCGGTACAAGAAATTCTCACTGATCTATATTCATGATCTGTGTGCTTAGTTTCTTTGGATTTTTTTTTAAGTGCTTGTTTCATTGTGGTGTGAATGAATGTTTAAAATTTCTGGATTTTGATCTTTAGAACATGCTGATTTATCAGAACTGTAAAAAACCTGATTGTTCTTTGGTCCTTGTTTGGTGGGGCACCCTATTGATTTCTGTTGTCTGTTAAAGAGGGAACTTCTTCCTCTAGCCTGCAGATCATTAAGTGAATGGTTTGCGGTGTGCCTTTAAAGTTGATTGAATGCATTGAGCATGTTTGTCCAGTGAATTTTTAATTGACTCATAGAAATGACTTTGCTTTGGTTCTGTGGCTTTTGCTCCTCTCCACAAGAATTTGAATTCTCTGTTGCATTTTGTATACGTGCTTTTAACAGGGGAAAAAATTTTGCAATTTTTACAGAGGTGGATTTTCCTATCCCCTCTGAATGCCTTCTGTAATTAATACAGCAAAAATCTCTTATTGCAGTGCTCAATTATTTCATAAACTATTTTTTGGCTTAATCAGAAACAATGACAAAGAGTGATAATAAAAAATACGAAAACCTTCCTTCCTTTGAAGAATAGAAATCAGGTGGTCAGGCTCCCGCATGCTTTGTGCCTGACACACTTACTCTCATGTCATTGTGTATCATGATTCGGAGATGGAGTTGCTTCAGGTTTCTAGATTTTTGTTTTAACATTTGTGTTGAGTACTTTCTCCAGGCTGATGTTTCCGGTTGGATTTGTGGAAAGTGTAGAAGGGAAACAAATGCTTTGTTTTCTTTTCAGGAGGCCTGAGTTGCTGATGAGAAAAGAGTTGCGGTTGGGCTGAGGAACAGAGTGACACTCCTCCCGGCTGAAATCGATGAACAATGAAATCAATTATGTGTATCGGTATTTGACCAATAGAAGTTAGCGAGCCCAAACTGGCTAGATATGCCCAAAGGAAAGTACTGAATTCACCTGCAGAATTATGTGCTTTACCAAGTAGAAGCAGCTTACAGGAATCAGAAAAATCAGTCCTATGATGACATATAAAAGGAATATAATATCTTTTATTTCTGAAACTTTTCTACGTTAAGTTGTGTAGAGCTAAAATTAAGTTTTAAGCACCAGGAGTTAAGAGTGTGGGTGGATCTGTGGGATCGTAATTCACGGATGTGCCTACAACCTGCTAGAGTGGCTGAAGCTGACAGGAAAAGACCCAGAGCCAGAATTTGTCATCCTAGTGTGTCCTCCATAATGGTTCCATGTGGGAGCCCAGGATTGGGTTAACAAATTGTAACAAACCCCAGCCACCTGTGAACTTTAAGAAGAAAAAAATATGCTTAGTAACTGCTTTGCAAGCAAGTGCCTGTGCATCCTCTCTCCAGTCTCCTTGCCTTAAAAAGCAGAGACCATGCTTTGCTTGCATAGTTTTGGTTTTAGATAGCACTCTGCTGGTTGCAAAGCAAGAACCTAGGCCCTCAGTTATAAACGCTGGTCTTGTGTGCTGTTAGATATTCTATTATCCCCAAAACAAGGACCTGGCTAGTCTGATGGTCTTCTTTGTAATTCACATAGCTAAAAATGTATCTTGTTCCCCTCACCCCATGACTTCACTGAAGATACACTAAGCCTTTGTACTCGTTGTGGATTCTACAATCTCTGTCTCATCCCGTCTTTCCCCAAGTTCCTGCTTACTATCACACGTGTTAATGACTTTTTCCTTTGATTATACACAATAAATATGGGAGCATTTGAGAGACTCGTGGAGTTGGCTCCCTACTCTCTCTCAATTTCTTGACTTTTTCCACAGAGTCTTGAATAATCATTCCATGTCGGTAAGACTTCTGCCAGCCAGAACCCACAGTACCGGGTGAGAAGGATGCAGGCTTTATCTCTCCTACCCAAGGGAGAGAGAAAAGAGAATTGAGATCTGCTCCCCCATGGTCCCTTCCTGCCCCAGGGCCACTGAAGTTCACCTGCAGCCTTCTGGCCCCTGCTCACAGGGCCTCTGTCCCAGGACTGACAGCACCCATTTCTTCCCTTATCAACATTTCCTGTGCCTTTCAGAAGTTGGTCTCTTCTCAGCAATTCAACCCTGGCAGATGTGATGGTGGTCAGCGTGCTGGTGGGCAGTCATTTGGGGACTCCCAGGACCCATGCTGATTCTCCTGAGTCTCTCATTCACGGTTACAGGACTGTCGAGCACCGACGGAAGCCCATTCAGGTGAGGCCAGCGCAGCATTGCATCACTTTCATTTTATTTTTGAATTTTCAGTGGAGAAATTATTTGCAACAAAGTGATCCAGATTTTCGGCCCCTGCTTTCCTCACCACCATTTCCTTGCTGGCTCTGGTGCTTGTTTTAAGAACCAGGTTTCTTCTCTGGTCATTTGTAGCAGCTGGGCTTGCCTCATCCTTGATCTGCATTTGAAGCAGAGTGTTTCTTCATGATGTCAAACTGATTTTTCTAATTGTGACTATTTCGTGTACAATCAGCAACTGTTTCAAGTGAAATGCTCTTGTCCAATTTCGGTTAACTCTGATTTGCTGAACTTCTGCTTTCATGCTGAGGGCAGTTTCTTCTTCCTCTAATAAAAGTTAGCAATTTGCATTTACTATTTGAAGGTACTGTCCCGAGGTGCTTTTGTCCTTAACAGTTTTAATACAATTCACCCATTAAATTGTAGAGCGGTTTTTACTCTATGCCCAGAATTGTGCATCCCAGTCAATCTTAGAACATTTTCATCCCCCAACAGGAAGACCAAGTATGCACAAGCAGTCATTCCCAACTTCCCCATCTTCCCCCAGCCCCAGGCAGCCACTCTTCTCTCTATGTGGGTTTGCCTGTGCTGGACATTTCATGTAAAATGAGTCATTTCATGTAAATGGAACCGTCTATTGTGACTCAATTCTTTCACACTGAGTAACGTTTTCAATGTTTGTCCACGTTGTGGCCTGGGTCAGTACTCTACGCTTTCCTATTGCTGAATAATATTCCACTGTATGGCTGAGCCCCACTGTTTACACATTCATCAGGTGATAGGCATTTGGGTTGTTTCTGCTTTTTGGCTGTGATGAGTAGTGACGCCGTGAATATTCCTGTAGGAGTTTTTATGTGGACATTTGTTTTCAGTTCTCTTACGTGTGTGCCCGGACAGCAGAATTGCTGGGTCATTCAGAAACCAAATGTTCAACCCTCTGAGGACCTGCCAGGCTGTTTTCCAAAGTGGCCATGCTGTGTTACGTCCTCACCAGCAAGGGCTGCGCGCTCCGCTTCCTCTGTCCTCATTAGTGCTTGTTACTCTTTTTTTTTTATTGTAACCTACTGTAGTGAGTGTGAAGCGGTTTCTCCTAGTGGTTTTGACTTGATTTCCCTTACAGCTAAAGATATTAAACATCGTTTCATTGTGCTTATTGGCCATTTGTGTATTTTCCTTGAAAAATAACTTTTCAGATCTTTATTCACTTTTTAATTCAGTTGCCTTTTTATTGTTGAGTTGTAGGAGTTTTTTTTTGTTTTTTTGTTTTTTTTATTTCATTTGGAGATACAAATTCCTAATCAGATATATGATTTGAAAAAATTTTCTCCTGTGTGTTGTTTTTTCACTTTCTGGATGGTGCCCTTTGAAGCAAAATTTTAAATATTGATGAATTCCAATTTATGTCTGTTTTCATTGTTCCTTGTTCTTTTGGGGTATTATTTAAAATCTGAGGTATTTTATTTAAACTTTTATATATAAAATAACTTAATTCGTAGGACCGTTCTAGGAGATGGGTGCTGTTGTTGTCCCCAGTCTATGGATAGGAGACTGAGAGGCAGAAAATGTCACTGACATATCAGTGTCACAGCTACCCAGTGCTGTGGGAGTTCAGACCCTCATGTTTGTCCCCAGCATCTGTGCTCTTCACCAGCATGCACCACTCCTTCCTGGAATCGTTCATGAAAACGTCTTTCATTTTTTGATTTCTTGTTAGTTTGTTTTCTCACTGGGGACCTCATCTCCTCATTTTTCCTGTGGAGATCAGTGTAGATTTATTTTATGTCTCATGTAGGCAGAAGCATTGCTATTAGTTTACTTCTTTATTACTCACTCTCCGGTAATGATTGTTGCTAGTTGACCTAATCAAGTCATGCTTAAGTCTTTCCTGCTCATGACACTAAAAACAGTCATGACTTACAGAATGCTCAAAGAAGAAAGTACTTGATTGATTTTATTTTTCTACCCAATCAAACCAATCAAATAGAAACACGGGTGTTGACACAGATTATAAGCCCTCCAGCATAGGGTCACTGTCTTCCTTGTGTTTCATTTGTTGGGTCACAGTGTCTGGATAGTGCCTTGCTGTCCAGCAGTTTTGTGA